TCGCATTCAGTGTTTAAAGTTTAGCAGTAGCAGTAGCAGCTCACTCTCATTGTGACTGCCGAATTTGCCGAAAACTTGTGAGGCCCTTCCTTCCCTCTGTGACCTACCGGCCCCAACCATATTCTTGTTTTCCTCACCATTACAAACAAATCGCTGCTGGTCCCTTGCACGGCCTCTCGTGCCAAATCTCAGATTCCTCATGTGCAGGAAGCAAGCTGCAAACTCAGTGTCTTGAATCTTGGTTAATCTAAGAAGGATGGTTCTCTTGAGGCACCATGCAGATGCAGACGCATCCTAGTGAAACAACATACCGTGCTCGAACCGTCCAGACTAGGATGAGTCGGGAGTGCGGTGTTGGAACTTATCCGGAAGCTTTGGGAAAGCTTAGGGTTTAGGGGCTATTGCACAGGGCGTAAATTCCTAGATTTGTAGATGCAAGATCCTCATTATCAGGCTCAGAAGCATCCTAGTAAGTCACTGAAGTGCAAGTGCTTTGGGTCAATGCTCGGAAGCCAGAAATCTGACATCTCCAGCTTTCGAGACTAGTTCCCAGCCCCGTTACAATGCCGCTACAGGCAGCTAAACTTTGTAGAGCAAAGTTCTCTCGGTGCCAGGTGCTACTTGGTGTTCTTCAGGCAGGACAAATTCAGCAGAGATCACGTCGTTGGCTTCAAAAGGATGGTGGAGGCCAGGATCACAGGCTGCATGAGTGCTCGGTCTGCTGCATTGGCTTTCTCGAGGGATTGCTTTCTTCCGCTGGACTCCGCTGGACACACGCTTCGCTTGTGAGGTGTTTCCGGCATGGCTCATAATTCGGTAAAGCGGCAAACCTGACACTCGTTGAGTCGTTGAGAATTCAATCAGCATAGGCTCATCTGGCCAGTCGTCAAAGGGCAGACTTTAGAAAAACCACAAATGTCACAATAGCCTCTGCTCTATGCCTTGTGCCCGATTCCGTACTTGCATGGAAGGACCTTGTAAACCACACCTTACCGAAGCAGAGAATCTTCACAGGCGTTTTTTATTTTGTGGAATCCATTGTTGCGACTCCAAAGCCTGTGCTGATGCCACAGGCTTTGCAGAAATGGGTGACTGACAACCACACACCTGTGCTTCTGAGCTCGCTGCTGCTGGAAGAATCGAGCCCAGCTTTCAGGGAGCACATGCAGGCTTACATGGAGCAGCGTGCACAGATTGCTGTCCAGGCACGTCTGCAGGTTGTGTTTGGCAATGCTAGTTAGCTGAATTTGCTACTTGATTCAAGGCTACCCGTTGCACGATTGTGGCAGTCTTGTTTCCATGGGCTGTGCGTGTTCAGCTTGAATGCTGTGTATTAGACAAATGGCCTGTGTATTCGATAATTCAACAGACAAAAGCAAATCCGAGGCTTTTTTGGGTTGTGGGAAAAGGGTCGCGGGCAGGGATGGGTGGGCTGCGGGGGAGTTTAGTTTGGGGGTGTGAAGCAGGCCCAAGCGCATAGTCGGGAGAGGTTGCCAGGGACTGGGCGGGGTGCCGGTCCTGGTTTGGGGCTGTTTGGGCTTGGTTGGGGGGTTTCCCCATGCCTGGGCTCCCGGGACTGCCCGGGCCTGGCGGGCTTGCTCTGTGTGTCAGGCCACTAAAAAGTTGCAAAAATGACGCAATGTCTCCGGGAAGCTGCTGGGAAGCCCCAAAACGCAGAATCCTCCAGGCATTTGCAGCTTTTTTGCAACTTTCTTGCGTTTTCCTCTGTTTTTGCACCAAAGTTGCAAAAAAGTTGCAAAAAAGTTGCAAATGTCCCAAGGATTTTGCGCTTTGGTGCTTCCCAGGAGCATTGCATTTTTTTTGCAACTTTTTTGCAACTTTTCTGCAAAAATCAACAAAAATGCAAAAATGTTGCAAAAAAGTTGCAAATGTCTCAAGGATTCTGCGTTTTGGGGCTTGCCAAGGGCTTCTCCAGGGCAATGCACATTTTTTGTGCACCTTTTTGCAGCTTTTTTTGCAGCTTTTTTTGCAGCTTTTTTGCAACTTTTTCGAACACAAAATTTTGCTTCCGACTGGGCTTGCGACTGGGGGCTGATTGAATCTTACCTACCCCCTGGCAGGAGCCTGATGCTTGTCGGCAGTGGCACTTGCAAGCTTCAGAGATTCGTGGGGAGTTCGGTGTGTCACCGAGCCAGAAAATATGGACACGATTCGACTTCAAGTTCGCCGGTTTGCCAGAAAACCCTCGCATCAAGGAAGTAATAGAGTGTGCGACGATGGGGCACCTCTATGCAGTTGGACATTGGCCGATGTCGAGACATGTCAGCCAAGCCTCCCTCCAGGATATGTGCCACGAGCTGATAACTGATGTTTCCCAGAATCCGAGCCGCAAGGCGTTCACGGGCAAGAGCGGAGTATCAAGATGTTTGACGACAAGCTCTACCCTTTATCATCATGGTCGAGACCGACTTGTGCTGCCAATCGAGCAGTTCTTTTTCCAAGGACACAGTGTAAATTTGCAAGTGCCTGCTCACATCAGGCAACGGTCGTTGAAACATCTTGCTGCATCAGGGATGGCACTGCCATGTATAGGCCTTCTTTTGCAGGCCATGAAACACAGTGGAAGTCTGAGCATCTAGACTCTGTTCCTTGACGAGGTCAGTCTCTGCTGAAAGAGAGTTTTTTGTTTGCGTGGCATGAACAGTCGTTGTATGAACAGCTGCGAGAAGCGATTGCATTCAAGTTCTCATGCATGCAGAAAAGAGTTCTTGAGTTTCTACTTAGTGTAGTTCCCAAACAGTGATCGCGGCTCTCCAATGTTCCATGGCATTCTGGATTTGGCCAGTGAATGCGTACGTAGTTTTTTGATAGGCCAAAGATGGCATGGATGTGCTCTGATGCTTCAGGAGCAACAGCTTCTGACATGTCTGCACAAGTGCAGCTGCTCACCATGCATTTGCATTCTTGACGGGGAGTTCGCCGATTGTTGCATGCTTGCCCGCCCAAAGCATTGCTATACTGTTAGTCGGTAGTCTAGGTCCAGGTACAACTACAGACTTGGACCGACTAGCTGCTAGCATCTAGGTCCTAGGCCCAACTAGGCCAGGCAAGGCCCCAGGGTCATCAGCTAGTTGTGCATATGGGCAGTTGCACGGTCAAGGCGAATCTTCACTTGAGGCAGTAGCTGGCCGGAGGCTAGCGGCTAGCGGCTAACGAGTCTAGTTCAGCTGATGCAGGAAGCTGGTGATGGCCGGTAGCTGTAGCTGTTAGGCATACATAGTACATAGCAATTGTTAGTGTTGTTGATGTTTTGACGGGCACGTGCATTTGTTTTTTCTTTGCTTATACATACATATATATATATATATTTATGTATGTCATGTGTGTCAGTAAGTTGCAAATAGCAAATATATGAATATAGATGTATGAACGCATAATTATATGTATGTGTACAGAAGTATATATGTATGTATGTATATAATGTATATATTTGTAGATGTACAGTTGTATACCATGTGCAGTTGTAGAATATATATACACTATACTATGTACACACACACACACTCATGCAGACACACTCTTTCTTTCCTTACTATTAAACTTGTTTCTTTCGCTCTTTTGCTGTATGTCTCCGCATAATGCTCTATGCCATCTTTGCCAAATACACAGTGCCGGACTCCTGCGCAGCTTGGATGCTCCACGGGAGCCGGTTCAGCATAATGGATGAAAGGAGCTTTTGAGTCTGAGTATTGAGTGAGAAATTGTTTGTCGGCCAAGGGATCCGCTGGCATAGTCACAGGTGCCTGTCCTCTCTGTGCAGCAGGTCCCTCCTGTGCATCTTCTGCTGATGCTGATATTTAGCAAGTAGCAAGCAGCCGCATGTCCTTGCACTCCACGTTTACTTTGTTCAATCGCTTGCTCAAGCGCTTCAAAGTTCTTCAAAGACTCGTGCGGTGTGCACATTCCACTTGTGGGCGGCAGCTACAAGAACGTCCAGCAGGCACCGCTGCCTGAGAGTGTCCAGAGTCCAGAGTCCAGAGTCGAGAGTAACGGATTGGAGCCATTGTGGGATCATCGACCACTACAATCACTATATACAGCAGGTTAGGCTGACGAGCCGAGTCAAGCCTAGAGCTTGACACGGTTCTTGTTCAAACAGCACACCAGTGTGTTAATGATCTCATGTTTTGTTTTGCTTTCCATTTTCTCATGAAGACCATCTCCGGAGTTGGATTGAGCAGAAGCATCATCCAAAGCGCCTTGAAGAGCTGCAGCCCAGCAATCTGCACTGCCTTTGTGCTCACAAGGCGGCAGGCATGGTAAGCTAGGTAATACAGGGAGCATCGGGAGCCCGAGTCGCGATGGCCGGAAGACGACTAGAGTGACTAGAGTTGATCGAGTGTTTTCCGGATTTTAGGTTCAGGCATCCAATTCGAAATTCGAAGTCACTGAAGAATTTTACTGTTCGGTTTGCTCAAAAAAAAGCCTCTACAGGTGTTCCGAAACCCAGGCGATGCAAGGTGTCGAAATCTCTTGAAGTTGGGAAGTGCATACGCTTTAAAACCAGAAAAAGAACCCTAGGCCCTAGGCCCTGAATTAATCCAAATCCCCATTGAACCCGTAGCACGTACGACTCAGAGGTCTGTTGGAAAATGTCGAAAATCAGCTCCGGCGGCCTTCGACTGCTTCCATGCTTGGCTGAACGTTCAGTGATAAGCAACAGCAAACCACAGCACTCAGATCCTTTTCACAAGCGATACGATGGTATAACTTCGGTATAACATACGATTTCGCTCGAGTTCGGAAACATCCTGCAAGCTCACAACACCCTGGTTTCAGGAACGATGGTACTCATGCTATTCCCTATGTCTAGTGTGCTGCAATTGAAGTTCATGGAATGCGACCCACATCCATTGACTCATAACGGCAAAAAATACAAGCTGTGATCCAAGGACATTTTCCCAAATCGTTCTTCGACTTGAAGATTAATTGTTCAACCGTCTAACCGTTTAACCGCTTATGGCTTATATAACCCAGTTTCACAACAGCCAGCCTGCCACCGCCAAGGCCTCCTCTGGAGCGACAGCGGTTGCAGCAGCAGCACTTGCCTGTAGGTCTCTGTGCGGCGAACCCACGAAGGCCAGCAACAGGCGTGAAAAGAGACGGTGGTGCGCCTCCAGCAGACCACACCAGTCCACAGGGTAGCACTGATTGTGCCAGCCTTTTCTGCACAGCACCGGTAGCTTGGATGGCAGCAAAGCTGGTACCACAAACAAGTATATGCATTTCAGGGTTTCTTGCCGGTCCTCACAACAACCTGGAGCGCAGAAATGCTGGACACCGTCACAGTCAGTGTTGATATAACCGTTCAAGAAGGATCTGAGGACATACTCTCGTTCCCGGTTCCTGTGACGCTGTCGCCTGGTGCCATCTAGTGACTCTTGTGGAAGGTACAACTTCAGCATATCTGTTCTGTACTCTTCCAGCAGGACATTCGAAGGCGGCATTTCCTTCTTGATATCCAGATCCGCAGCGATGACGTTGAACAAGAGGCTTCTGAGCTTGTGCAAAGCCCCAGCCTCCCCAGCCATCACCAGCGCACTGTTAACCAAGCCGCTCACATCTTTCTCCAGGTTTGCAATGCCACACTTGAGCGACGTTGCCACCTTGTGGCAGTCGCACGGTGTGTGGACTTTGGCAAATTTCGGCATGAAACCTTCGCATTGCAAGCCCTTTTCACACCGGTAGTTTGCACTGTAACGGTCTGTGCAAGTTAGCCGCATGCGATACTTGAATGTTCTCGCCAGGCGGTTCATTTCTGGAACTCTGGAGATCTGGTCCCACACCGCTGCACGCTCATTTTCGCCGGTAGTGCGATCCATTGCGGAAAGCGTACAGGGGATTGGGGATCGAACCCACCAGTAGTCACCCATGTCAGGCGAAGCGAAGAGCATGCCAAGTTCCAGTTCTGTCTGGAGTATTTTGGCCAGGGTGCAGGACTCACCGACGGCCAGGCCTTGCCTTGCACCAAAATCTTGAAGGGCTTGGCCTGACGATGCGGCCTTTGGGACAAACACGAAGCCACAACTTTGCTGCAAGCTTTTGTCACAAGCACTGACCAGTCGCACTTTTGTCGGTGTTTCATCATACCGCACTCGCAATGCAAAAAGCATCGGCAAAAGACCCTGGGCCTTTGCCGCGGAGAGGCACGTCTCCACCATCGACCCGAGCATGAAGCTGCTGGATTCAGCAACAATGCATGCACTCGCCAGCAAATGCTTCTGGAGTGTCGAGCTGTTACACTGATGTATGTTCGCCAGCGAAGTGCAGGAGCAAGTCAAGGCCGTACCGTCCAGGAAACGATCCACGGCTTCAGACTGCTTGACTGGGTCAGTTGCTGCGGCCCTAACCTTCCCAGACTTCGACAGTTTCACGTCTACCAGATTTTGTTTCTCTGAATCCAGTGCATGGCACAATGCTTGCACCACCGTCTTCTGCACGGGCCTGCCAGCCTGGAGAACGGCTGGAAGCAAACCAAACTGCCGGCCAACTCTCCACATCAAATCCTGCTGCTCGCATCGCTGCAATTGCCTTTCTGTGCTCCTGTCGTGGCTCTGCCAGGAAGGTAGGTCCAACTGCTGGGCCCGACGGTCCAGAGACGCATCCAGATCGAAATCAGGCATGGAGGCTGCCGCGCGAGCTTCAGCATCAGAGCGAGCAATGCGGCTGCCTTTAGTGCCCTTGGGCCTACCCGGTTTTCGCTTTGCAAGCACGAGGTCTTCCGAGGAAGCCGCCGGGTCTAGGAGCCCTGCAATTCCAGCATCATCCCCCGCAACTTCGAGTATGGACTGCTGAAGTGCCGTATCCCAGCCTGACATGCCGGCTCGTTCTGGCTCCGGCCAAGTACCATCTCGCGGCTCGCGGTTCCAGTGACGGTTTACAGACGGCTATAGTTGAAGCTACAAGGCTGACAGAACCTTGCTGCTGGAACTCCATGTCTATTCAATCTTTTGTAATCGCAACAAGAAACATCCCTGTGACTTATCTGTCGTAGAAGTCTTAGTCTTAAACATGTCCGGTAAGTGTGCTTCTGTGTGACAAATTCACTAGACACAGAACACAACATCATCAGCCACTGCGAGCCGCGAGCAATTGCCGCAGTCGCATCGGGGTTTGGTTTCAGCACACCAGTGTATCAAGGTCGGTTTTGGTATGTTGGAGCGAAACAAGAAAAGTGCGACAGAATGACACACGAACATGTGGTCTCAGGACCTACTTTGCGACATCCCTGTTCTGGAAAGCCCGCTCAGCCACTGCCTGACCCGGCTGGTGCCCCGACAAGCCACTTGACCAATGAATGGAAGATTCAATGACAGCCCGATCACACACCCTCTGGACTCTCTCTCTCTGTGACTGGCCTTGGCCGTGAGATGCACAACCAGATCTTGGTGTCCAACTCGAACTTGATGACATAATACTTGTGGCGGAGGCCCGCAGAGTTCAGGTTGGCGAGGAACCTACAGCCAAGGTGTGGGGTGTGGATGTGGCCGTCCGACGACATGAAACTGCATTATTCTTCCTGAGGTGGTGAAGGGGGTTCACAGGATCGTCAGACGCAGCTTAACCGACCCCCATCATCTAAAACTCCTACAGTCCTACGGTCCTACAGTCTTACAATCAAAATACGGACACCCGCACTCACATAATTCAAGACACACTTCATATCCCCTAGCCTGGACAAATGAGTTGCTTGCTGGCTCATGTCGATATGGCACTTGCGAACTAGAAGCTTGTAGTCCGACAGCTTGAACTCTACCCACTACCTATCAACAGTCAAAACACACAGTTTCATGACTCATGGCTTTGCCAATCACAAGAGTGACAAGAGATTGAAATCCGAATTGAGCCTGCGCTGTCAATATTCTCGTCGTTTGGAGTCTTTTAGCTTGCAAGCAGCTAGTGAGCTAGTGAACCGTTTGGCATATCAGTGGTACCGCAATCACTGCTAAAACTGCTAGGCTATAATCTAGAAGCTGCTGGGCTAGGCCGGTCAGGCGATGGAGTACATTACACATGTCATTTGAGAACGACTGCCATGTTGAGCGTTTCACTGTCTGCAGTGTTCAACACTTCATGTTTTCAGTACTTGTCATGGGTGGGTACAGGTACAGGTGGACGTCGGGTGAATGTGTTGTGGTCCTGAGAGGCATCGGTTGTTTTGGTAGAAACCGGTACTAGACCTGCTGTATATTGAATCACTATCATCTGCTACTGCTTCATCGCCTGGTGACAACCTGTGAAGCATGCAAGAGCGCCCTAGAAAGCGAGCACATGTTCTCCCGGATTTCAGAGTCCCTTCGCGCTGACATGTTTCATTAGTTACGACAGCCGGATCATGAGCAACTTTAGCAGCTTTAACTTTAGCACAAGGATTGAACACCCTGCACGAGCCTCGAATATTATTTCCTTCTGATTCCTGTCGCCCTAAGTTATAAGGGCATTCACAATATATAGGCCATTATGTGCCTTCACAATAAGAAATATAATATAAAAGAAAATTCGCGTGACATCCGAAGCCTTCGTTTTGCAATGGGATTTGCGACAAAGTCTGAGTCGTAAGACGAAGCACCGATGGTCACTGAGCTCACTGCTCGAACACATCGGGCCCTCCACACCCCGACGGGAGTGAAAAAGGGATGGGCGGGCGGGACAAAAACTGAGCCTTTGCCCAGCTACGGGGTTTCCCACCTCCCTCCCTGGAGCCGTAATGTTGCACAGGCAAAGGAAGATTCCACATCGTTCCAAAGACTGGAAAACGATTAAGGGAAAACTTCGGGCTCTTGAAAGTCAAACTTTCAAAAATTCGGAATCAGGAAAATAAAACTATATCACCTTCGGTGAGATTCGTCTTATTTCCTTCTGATTCCTGTCGCCCTAAGTTATAAGGGCATTCACAATATATAGGCCATTATGTGCCTTCACAATAAGAAATATAATATAAAAGAAATTCGCGTGACATCCGAAGCCTTCGTTTTGCAATGGGATTTGCGACAAAGTCTGAGTCGTAAGAAGAAGCACCGATGGTCACTGAGCTCACTGCTCGAACACATCGGGCCCTCCACACCCCACGCACAGGCCCTAAGGTGTCAAGGCAGTGAGCCGCACACGAAGAGACGAATCAAGATTGCTGTAATCCTTCCGGGATGGACCATCAGCAGGATTGCTTTGGGATGGCACCCACTCACACCAAATGTTGATATCGTTCTCTTCCTCGAAGCAGACAAGCTTCTGAAGTATGCAAGCTGCAATGCCTTCTGCGCGGCCACTTATCAAGCATGACAAAGCGGACTCGTTGTCCACAAACAGCACTAGGTCAATGTTCGACTTGCCTTTGAGCAAGTCCACGACACCTTGCACTGCTGCGAAGATCTCCAACTCATAAATCAAACCCTCCTTAGCATCAGAGCCGAAGGGGACAAGGTCACAAGGATCAATCCACTCAGCAAACCACTTGAGAGGCTTGGCAGCTGAATCGTAAAGGATCCCACCAAGTCCTGAACCTTCGCTTCCAAAGGAGGCGTCAGTGAAGAGGGTCAGCTTTTCCCTCTTGCAAGCACTGACACGCCTTGGCTCACCATTCACGATGTGATCACGGAAGAACAGAAGCGCGTGCAGCAGCTCACCAGTTATTTTGACATTCTTCTTACAAGAGCAGGCTTTGGACAGGACAGAGAAGACCTGCCGGGCACGCCTGCCAAAGACCTGATTGTCAGCAAACAAGAGTCTGCCTCGAAGTACTGTCAGCTCATGACTCGATGCAGAGCCCCTTGATACCAACAAGTCAAGAAGATTGCTCAAGTCGCGTATCCTGTGTTCCGTATTCGAAACTACAACTAGACCAGCTCTAACGTCGGCAAACGAGATGGAAACCCCTAGCACTCGAGCCAGGCAGTTAAATCCCGAGTCCTTTTCGGACGACGTAGACCAGCCAAGCAAGTCAAAAAAACCCCGTTGAATCAAATGCACATGCTCTGCCTCCGACTGCGCTGCCACCAAGAAAAAGTCGTCAAAGTAGCAGCTCCAGTGGAGCTGCAACAGGACAACCCCTATCCAAAACAAAGCAAGCGATCATCTACAAAATCCGTTAACTGCAGCACGGGCCCCGAAGGGCAGCACACGTGTGCGGTATATGGAAGGCTGATTGCACTTAGGGCTATGCACACACAAGAAGCAATCGTTCAGCGATTCGAGCGAAACCGGAAGTTGCTTATAGGCTTTTCTAAGGTCCACTGTGCATGCCACCAGCTCCTCAGGCTCAGCCTGCTCAGGCCTCGAGGTGATGCGCCGGCAAATCCCAGCAACAATGGTGTCCACACCATGAGGCGACATGGTCTCCACGCTGGCATTAGTGAGATTCACTTGGCTTTCGGTGTAGTCATCAATCGGCCTCGTCTTATCAAGAACCGAACCATCAGCCTGTGTGCTTGTTTGCCGAATGCCAAACCTGCGAGTGAGCACAGCACCATCTGGCAAAGGAAAGTCGTGTGGCCCATCAAGCCATCCCCTCTCTTTCTCATCACAGGTGAGCGCGAAAACTTCTTCGGCAACTTGTTTGTCCTTGGAAGATCGGCAGGCTCCCAAGATTGCCTTATTGATCGATGATGCATTGTCACGGACCTCCTTTGGCGTCAAAGTTGCAAAAGTGTTTTTCTTAGGCATGGCACCAGAAGCGGGCAATGGACCCATAATGTCAAAGCCTCTCTTCACCTGACTAGGCAGCCCACTGTCAACATGCCCACTTTCATCAAGCATTTCTTTGAACAGCCTAAGGTCCTTGCCCTTTAAGACCTCCGCGCAGTGACCCACAGGAGGATCTGGATCAACTTGTTCGGACAACTCTTTTGCCCTAGCCACCCAGCGCCGAAGTGAAGCAGTCCTTTCCCGACCAAGACTCTCGTAACTTTCTGAAGCACACTTGCTGACACACTTCGCAAGTACATCAGGGATGCCACTGTAAAGGTGCTTGGGATGCTCAGCGAAGCATGCTTGCTGCACAAAATCTTCACAAGACTTTGGCACGGAGAAAGTCATTTCCCGAATCGAAGGAAGGTCAGCCCCACCCCCGAAGAGCACTGACCGAAGGCACTTGCTTCCAGCAGGCAGGCCATGCATGGGCGGCAGGACGACAAGCTCGGAAGACAATGGCGTAAAGGACTTTAAGACACCAGTGGGTGGCATCACAGCACCGGGTCCTCGAAGCACAACAGTGCCAGCAACAGGCGGCGCAATCGGCGGGATGCGTTTTCCTTTCGGCTGCTTGGCAGCAGCAACCTGAGCAGCACGGTGCATGGACACATCAGTCAGAGTGGATGGCGCACACCCGAAGGCTTTGAGGCGCTCAAGCAATGCTCTAGCAAATCCATCGCATAGGTCAGGTGGGTACACGTGCAAGGCACCCGACTGCCAGGGAGCATGAGAGTGCGAATCATCACAAGCAATTCCTAACCTACGAAGTTCAGGGTAGTTGTGGAAGAAAGTTGAGTGCTTAGCACAAGGATCCCCGAACATGCACTGGTGCAATGAGGTCTTGAGGAGGCCTAAGGCGAGGCAGGTCTTGCCAAGGGGGCCTTGCCACGCGGAGCTTGCAGCCGGGTTTTCAACTGATACGAGAATGCCACGGCCGTGGCACCACTTCAGGATCCGGGCCGACAGCTCACAAAGTTGTGCATCACTCGCAGGCGGCGAGATGTGCACACCACAAACGTTGCCGCGATTGAGAACATCCCACAGGAGCTCATGCTGTTCTTCATTTTTAAGGTCAAGCGGGAGAACAGGACACCGAGTGGCACCAGTGACACGGGAGGCGATGCCAAGGCACTGTCCAATTCCTTTACGTTTAACCGCAGCGGCCAAGTGACCCGCACCACAGAAAATCTGAAGGAACAGCATCGACTGAAGGCTATGACCCTGAAGTCTCTGTTCTGCACCAGCAGGTAGGCACTTGCTGCTCATTGGCGGCACCACAACAGGTGGAGTATCAGTTGAGCAGACAGCATCCAGATTGGGAGCAAAACCCTGCTCCTGTAGAGTTGACAGATCACATGGGCTCAACACGCAGGCATTGCGCACCGAAAAGGCAACAAGGACGACACGATCACCCTGCCAAGCAGCAGTGGCATGTCGAAGGCGATAAGCATCGAAGATGGCATGCGTGTTAGCCACCTCCAGCGCAACAGCGGGAAGCTTGCCCGAAGAGGTCTCAATCACACGTGGACCTCCTGAGCTTTCAACTAAGACTTGCCCATCCTGAAAATTACTTAGGCAGGCAACAAGATTTGGCATGGGAGCGTTGTTTGCATCAACGTGCGGACTCGTCTTGACATTGAAGAAAATGTTGATTGTGGAAAATTGAAAATCAGGAGAGATTGCCTTCACAAAACTAGCTAGCACAGAGCACGCCAAGGGAAAACGTTTGGTATTGGCCCGGAGGCCCAGCAAGGGTCCCTGACAATACATGCCACAAGCGAAAGCGCATCCCGTACCCTCGCCACGAGCGGGTCTATCCTTCGGAAGGAGGTTGAACAGGTGCAACACCTCACTGCGGGCGGGCGCTCGTGCTAGCTTCAGAATCTGACCAGCATACACCTCGGCAGGGTGAATGGTCTCAGCCGGGGGTGACGAAGCCGGTTCAAGAGGCAAAACTGAATCCATGAACTTGCAAGTCAATCGTTTGGCACAGTGGCTATGACTAATTAGGGCATCCTGCTGGTTCGAATGCAGGGCACCGGCAGGAAAGGGATTAGGGTCGCATGCAAAGCTTCCAAAGCCTCACCGGTCTGACAGACCTTCACACGCTTGGCTGCACTTGTCATCGGAGCAGCGGGCGGAACCACAACAGGTTGACCTGAAAAATCCGCCTCAGGCAGTGGCAACCGTCACTCTTTGCATTCTTGCAGTGAGTGATTTTTGCCACAGCGCATACAAGCATGGATTCCACGACGGCAGGATTTGCCAGCCTTTGCGAACTTGCAGCCTTTCTTGCAATTGAAGGGCCAGCAGAACTTTTCACCTGCCTCGGTTGCCATCCGCAATCCAGTAATGTTCTTAAGCTCGTCCGGAAGCTCTGCTTTCTGGACCTTGTTGCCAGAATCTTGCTTGTTGGGACTGTTCGGCTTTCTCTTCTTATCCGGATCACCATGTGGAAGCTTTGGTGGCTTATCCGGCTTATCGGGCTTAACCTCAAAGCTCTTGAGGGGTAAGAGATGGAACAACACATGAGGGTCGCTCGTCAACTTCCCTAGGGCATCATCGAGGGGCAAATTGCCCGACGAATCTCTCCGAAGTGACTTCACCTGTTCCGACATACGTACCCAACCAGCCCTGTCGGTTCTGAGTACCTGTTCAATCGATGGGCGTGACCAGCCCGGCGGAGCCTGCTGCTGCATCCTGTCTAAAAGAAAGGAGTGCCAGGCATGCATCGCCTCGTAAGTGCATGCCCCCATGAGATCGGAAGCAAGGGCCCGTCGCTGCAGGGCTTGCGACAGTGCCAATGGATCTTGTATCGCGCACTTGTATTTATCTGCCTTGTCACGCACAGAAATGCGGTTGTGGTCCAAAATGAGCTCTTTGCCAGGGCGCTCACGCGCCACCTCAGCTGCTCTCGTGTCGAACCGGTGCGGTTCCAAGTACATAGGGCTATCCTTCTCGATCATCGCCCCCACATAGTCGTAAGAAGCATACGAGCACTCGAGCTGCCCAACCAAGGTAAGACCCTTCATTTTGGCCTTCTGCTGGAGTATCCGAGTTGTCCTCTCAGCTGGTGCCAATTCGATCCTTTTTTCATTTCCCTCAACTGAAGCTTTGACGTGAGCCAAGCAAAGCGTCTGACATTCAAACATCAAGTGTCGGATTGCTGCCACAACTCCAACACTCACCGACTCAGGTGCCAGCGGTCGGAGAAGGGACCTCAGTTGTTCCTCAGAAGGCTGAACACCTGGAGCACTGGTCGAGAAAGCTAGGAGCGAGATCGTCTTGATCCCCGCAGTCTTCAGCCGCTCCAGCTCCTCATCCGGTAGCCCACACTCACGAGCTCGCTCATCGAACGCAGCCTCACTCTGCAGAAGGGTCGCCATTGCCAGAATCTGCAGAAGTCTACCGCACCAAACTAAGCGTGCACCAAGCTCTGCAGTTGCAATGACACCTGAACCATGCAAAATTGAGATACACTGATGGAGCAGCGATCCAAATGCATCGAGGGGGGACATGCAGCACTTCGCGGTATGCCGCAAGTTGCATCCAACCTCTCTCTATCCATTCGCACATCACGCAGGGCTAAGAGCATCTTGCCCATGCAGCGATTTTTGCACTCCTGTAAGCCGAGGACGATCTCGTCTAGCCCAGGGGGCATGGCAAAATGTTTGCGACGAGTGGCAGGTCAAGCCTCACGGTGAGCGCTCGGGCTGCCCGCACAGGAGTGCTGGTCACGCCCATGTTGCTCTGAAGGCTGCCACACTCGCCAGGTTTAGAAATAAGTGCTCCTGCCATGCCGGGAAATCATCCCAGGCGACAAAGAGGCACCAAGCAGTCCCTTTGCAGGACCTCGAGGTCACGCCTTGGTTCATTGCATCACCGAGCTGCCTGTGCCCAAGAGCACTGGTCACGCTGTGGATACACCAAGGCTGCCATGAGCAACTTAAGAAGATCCCTCCACCCGGGCCTTTTTAGTGGCCACTTCAAGGGCGTGGTTAAGGGCCCCCAGATCCCGCAGTGACCTGCCTCTGTAGCACTGCTTGCACTCAAGGGAGGCAATGCTCACACTTCCACAAACCGGTTTAAAAGTTGCCTGATTCCACTCGCGGCCACACACAAAGCGACCCGATGAGGCTCCGGCGGGAAGCAGATGCACAGTCCTGGTAGTTTTATGCCTGTACATGAGGCACTCATTGAGCTTTCTATGCTCAAGTTCGCCAGCCCTCTCCCCAGAAGCTTGAACTCTCTCATCAACCGACTCAGAAGTAGATGACTCACTGCTGGAAGAGCTTTCACTCCCACCAGGCTCTGCATCACAACCCTCAGCACCGGTTTCCAAGTCCGGACCGTCCTCCTGCTGCTGCGCCTGCTCCTCTGCTGCTGCCTCAGCATACCAATCCCGCTCTCCCAGCCAGTCAGCATCAGCCTCGCCTTCTGGATCCTGAGCAGTCTGATCCAAGAAACCAGGCATCGGAAAAGGAGTCAAGGAGTCATCAAGCTGAGGAGGCGGTGACGGCGGGAAAGCAAACACAGGCTCAGGACCACCTTCAGCAGGAGTGGGAAATGCACTAGACATGTCTCTGGTACTGAACAGAACACCGTCCAGATGAGGATCGGAATCGGCAGGCTCCTCAGGTGCAAAACGTCCGGACCTCGTGGAGTCAGGAAGGAAAACCCCTCGGCGCACATCGCCTATGAGAGCCTCAAACTTTCGGACCGGAGCCGCCTGCGTGTCCCGTGCATAGGTCAGGGCACTGCTGCGTCCAACCAGCACGTGGTGTCCAAGGAGGGTTTGCGTATCAAAATCTGTTCCGGCTTTGCCCATCCACGACAACGGCGTGGCCTTTGCTGAATGCCCTGAAATCTTATCCCCGCTGTATGCCGGCACCGTTGACAGAAGATCCTGCACCCAAGCGGCAAAGCGATCAGTGTCAGCAGGTACATTGGAGAAGTTCCCATGAGCATCTGGCATATACAGTAAAGGCTCTCCCGAAGCAATGCTGGTGAGGTCACGACCCAGCTCCCTCGCAACCGAGATGAAGTCTTTGCCCCAACACCTCGGGCCGATGCCTTTGGCAGGCACCACAATGTGCATGCGCATACCCTGGCTGTTGCTGGTACTGCGGCACTTATGCGAAAGAGACAAAACCTCAAGGTAGCCACAACCGCTAGCACTGTCCTCAAGAAGGTCGGTTATGAAGCAGTCAAGAACCCTAAGATCACCAAGCCTGGCCCGGCCATACAACGCAAAGAGGAAGGCTCCAGCGCAAAACCGATCGATGAGTGGGCGGCACTCATCCGCAAGTAGAGCTTCCAAGGCAAGAACTTCACTGGCAAGCAAGGCTCTCGCCTGCTTCTTTGCAGGTCGTTCCAAGCGAGCCTTCCTAAGGATCCCCTGCACGATTGAATTGCTACAAGCGTTCAGCTCCATGTCAACTCCAAGCACGTGATGCAAGAAAGCAAAACACTCAACTGCACCAGTAAGCACCGAATGCCTGCCGCTCGAGCTAACAAGATGTCGGAGAAACTCCTCAGCAATCTGCCCATCAATGGGGAAGGCCTTCACCGACTCCAACTCAGCCCAGGAGACTAGCTTGGCAGACTGGCCATACCTCTTCTGCAGTGTGCAAGGCGCCTTGCCTCCGAGTGCCAGCCTAACCTTGGTGTGCCGTTCTTCCAGGGTTGCTCCTCGAAAGCTGCGCCCCAAAATCGAGGCTTCATAAGAGTGTGCAAGGATTAGCTCGAACCTTTGAACAGGAAGCTCGAAAATGTCTTCATCACAAAGTCTGACTTTCCTGGCCATCACTGTGACGGCATGCTTCAAGAAAACCACTTCTGAAGAAGAACTGCGAAACCTTGCAACACTGGATCTGGAGGCTTCTTCGCTGGAAGGAAGCACAGATGCCTCTTCCATAGTGAGCCTGACATCTGACGGCCTGGCAACAAGCGGGACCAGCCGAGTCGTCGCGTCATCAAAAATCTGAGAGAAGACTCCTTGCTCCCAAGGCATGACCAGAGCCGTCACTGTAGAATTCTCCAGACCGGCATCAAAGACTGCTGCAGCCAGTGCACTGTTAGACATGGTGCCGCACAGAGTCGCACAATTTGGAGGGCCAAAATGAACCCCACAATCAAGAGACTCCGGTGATGATGCTGGAGCTGAGATTCGAAGCTTCTCAGGAGGCCAGCCTGGTTCTCAAGACCCTCCTCCAGACTGTCCTCGACAGACTCAAGTCTGCCGTTGAAGTTGAGGATTGTGCGGGCCACTTCACCTCGAGCTTCCTCAATGTTTCCTTCAGCACGCACAAGCCTGTTGCCGAAACTGAGAAGCAAGGAGTGCAAGCCTGCTATTTGAACGAAAGCAATGTCCAGGCGACCACGGGCCTCGTGTAACCAAAGCCTATAAACTGCGAGAAGTCTCTGCACTCTGCCTACCAGCAGCAGAATAGCAAGAACAATGTCCTGCATGCACAGACTACCACGCCCCCCGCAACAACAAAAACTGAGCCTTTGCCCAGCTACGGGGTTTCCCACCTCCCTCCCTGGAGCCGTAATGTTGCACGGGCAAAGGAAGATTCCACATCGTTCCAAAGACTGGAAAACGATTAAGGGAAAACTTCGGGCTCTTGAAAGTCAAACTTTCAAAATTCGGAATCAGGAAAATAAAACTATATCACCTTCGGTGAGATTCGTCAGGAGTTTCGGAAGTTCCCGAGCTGCAAGGCGAGAGAAACCCCGCGACTTGCTCCAGTATGCCTACGAAAGGCTCGTACTTCTTGTACAAGTCGAGGAGATGCTCCATGGTTAACGGGTAGGAGTCATGCGACTTCACACTCCCATCAGCGAACCTCTTGGCCCGGTACCGGCTGAACGACTGGCACGGTGAGCCACTCACCAGAAGATTCACTTCCCCAAACCGGCGATTGTCACTGCCCTCTGTGCAAGCTTGCCCTTTGCCACGACACAACAAGCGCTGACCATGATGCGAAGTTTGCTCTTGAATTGTTTCATACATATGCTGCACACGACCGGCGAAATTGTGCATGAAGAGATCCCGATAATCTGAGTTCGACTCGCTGGCAGAAATGATGTCGAAGTTGATGCCCAAGCCCTGCACAGAAGAATCGGCAGAACAAGTGCAGAGGCATACACTGGCATACATAGACGGAGCTGCCACAGAACATGTGCGTCCTGCCAAAGTCAAAGGCCTGCCATGGTCGAATGTACGACAATGATCACGCTGCACGGGAAGTTACCAAGCCAAACTTAATCAAATAATTCAAAAGGTACCAGGAGTCCCAGAACACGAACGTGATAGGTGAGGTCGGCTGGTTAGGGTTACGGCTACGGTTAGGGCGGTTAGGGCTAGGCCGCTAGGCTGCTAGGGCCAGGGCCGCTAGGGCCTAAGGCCTAAAGTCCTAAAGGTGACGGCAGCCAACCACTAGCCAAAAGTAGGCCCGCCTTCATCGCCCAAGCTTCTGCACCGCTGCCAGTGCATGCACTCACGACCCGCACCGGGTCCGATTGGCTCTCTGAAACATCCTGCAATCCCTGATGACCTTGCTCTCTCACCGCAGCCTGTAACAGAACTGCCCACCACGAAGACGGCACACCGCTGCCCTCACTAACAGGGCTGCCCTCAGACTCACTCGGTGTCCGCAAGACATCACACTCCTCTATCGCATCATTGAGCTGCAGCTGTACATTGATCTCTTCTTCAAGCGCACTTGCCCATGGGTCACCCATCGTGGAACCGACAATCCTGATATGACACCGAAAAATGGAAGAACAAGTTTGTCAATCACAATTATAAATACACCTCGTGACAAATGCCCATGTGAAACGACACCTTGCTCCTTTGCTCGTGTTCTGCTCTGCCTGCTCTTCGTTCGGCACTTGGGAAAAAACTCTGGGAATGCGACACCTGACATGCACTTCTCTGGGACATTCTGCTGCTACGTCAGCTTCTTCATTCTGCACAAGTGGCTGGCACGTCAGCATCCGCGCCTTTTTGGCATGCAAAAACACTGTATCGGACTGACACTACCCGTCTAGACTGCTACACTACACTCCCCTGCTTTTATCTGGGAGGGAGGGGTATGTACTTCGATGGCGGAGGCTCCAGCTCCAAAACCAGATGTATGTATTGAAGTTATTTAAGCAGTAGCCAGGGATGCAACCGCTCCCTGAAAGAGAAGACGCCCCACTGTAGACATTCGTTGTATCAACAAACTAGTTAGCTGGATATTGGGATGTAGTATTTGAGTAAACCCTGAACCAAGTTTGAACTAAACTAAACTAAACCTTGCAATCTTGACTCCTAGGGCAGAGGTTTCAGCTCCAAATTCAAACCCATCTGTGTTTAGTGTCATCTAATCCCGGGGGATGCAGCCGCTCCCTCGAAACAGCAGACACCTTCGCGAGAGACATTAGTTACATTACTTAGTCATTCGTGTAATTAGTTAGTTAGTAAACTCCTAAACTGAATCATGCTTTGGGGTCTTCCCTCCGATGGGGGAGGTTTCAACTGCGATGTATTGTTTAACAAAACCCTAAACATAATAAACTATAAACTAAAACTGGCTCTGGGTGCTAAGAACCCCAAACTAAACCCCAAAGCGCCGAATCAGACTTAAACCCTTATATAACCTAAGCCTAAGCGGGCCTAAGCCCTGGGCCCTAAGGCCCTAAGCTCAGAGCTCCACGCGCAACCGTCGCCGTCGAAGAAACCTGCATGCAAGGACGAGGGGCCCGGGGATTCCGGGAAACGCAGGGCAGCCTATCAACCGTAAGGGGGAGGACCTATAAGAAACACAAACAACCCAGCAAAACTCCTGGCCCTAGCAGCAGCAAACCCTCCTGCGCAGGGCGAATGCAGGGCAGCCTAGGGGAAACCAAAAGGGTTAGGGCCAGGGAGAACAAAATCCAACAAAACCCAAACATCCGAGAGCACAACAAGCTAAGAACCCGCCCCCCGCAAGCGACCCCAACCCAGCAAACGCGAGCACTCCAGGCACCATGCTGAAGATGTCCAGGTCGGACCTGAGAGAAACAAACAACAGACAAGCGCACACACAAAAAGGTTTACGTTTACGGTTAAAGAACTTAAGGGGGGAGGGGGACGCGCAAAATGCAGGGCACTGGACAGGCACTCCTACGGGGACCAAAGGGTTAGGGAAGGGAACCCCGAGAAACAACAAAAAATAGGACGGCGAGGGAAAACCTAGAAACCTAGGGCCCTGCAGGGAGGGAAAACCGGGAACCCAACCCAGCGCGCTCGCTTTCAACCGTGGGGGCCGTACCAGGTCACGACGGAATTGTCGGCAAGGATGGCAGCAAAGCCGTTGTCACAGGCTTGGATGTGTTGCACATTCTGCAGCTGATCTGCAGCAGCTTCATCCATACGCCCAATGGTCTCGACGGATCCATCGAGAAAAACAACAGCAAAACCCATCGCCGACGATGCCACTGCCCGCACGTTCTCGTAGCGACCGCTTCCGCGACGCCAGCCCCAGCAAATCAAAACGTCGTCTCCCCGCAGTGCGCCAAAAGAACGCTCGTTTGCCGCAATGGCTTGCACGTCGTGCAGCTCAATCGCCGTGTCGGCATCAATCTCGCCACCCGATCGGCAATCACCCCAAGCCACGACCGATCCATCACCAATGATTGCAGCGAAAGCAGCACTGCTGCCTTGGATCATCTGAACATTTTTCAACTGACCCTGCACAGCACTGCTGTCGGCACCATCAGTGCGGCAGCCCCAGGTAACGACAGAGCCATCATCAAGAATCGCGGCAAATGCACCCCATGTCCTCGCAATGCGCCTCACGTTCTGAAGCTGATCCTGCACAGCACTACTGTCACCACCGTTCTCGGAATCGCCCCAAGTAACGACGGATCCATCTCCACGAATGGCCGCGAAAGCCTCCATAGTGCTCTGGATCTGCCTCACATTAATAAGCTGATCTTGGACTGCACTGCTGTCAATATTACCATGGTCAGCCCAGGCCACGACGGATCCATCGGTCAATATGGCGGCCATTGCCCACTCACCAGCATGGATGCTGCGCACATGGACATTGTCAAGAACCCCAAGTCTCCGACCATGACCCAAGCCCCACGTAACGACCGAGCCATCGCGCCTTATCGCAGCGAATCCGATGAGGGTAGCAGCTATTGATGTGACGTTCGTGAGGTGCTGCTGGACACCGCTGCTGTTGCCTCCTTTTTCAGCATCGCCCCATGCCACGACGGATCCATCACCCAGAAGGGCAGCAAAAGCACCCTCGGTGGCCTGTATCGCCTGTACGTCGATCAGCTGATCTCGCACAGCACTACAGTCGCCACCAAACGCACTATCACCCCAGGTTGCAATGGATCCATCACTAAGAATTGCAGCGAAAGCATGTTTGCTGGCCGTCACAGAGGTCCCGAGGAAGAGGAAGTGGTCTCCAGAAACACGACCACGACCTCTTGCCCGGGCCTTTACAAACGCACCATGCTTACCAGGTTTTTGTTAAGGATGGAGTTGCCATATTAGGGATCTATGGTACATAACATGGTTTCCTCATTATGAAAACTTAAATCAAACCCCCTAAACAAAAACCCAGCAAGTTTGAATGAGCCCCACATCAATTAAGTGCTACCCTGCTAGCTGCTAGACTAAGTAATATATTCAGCTGCCTGCTAAAATGCTTTAGCCGAGACTCTGGGCTGTTGTGATCCTCCAGTCTGCCGTAGGCCTTAAACCATATCTGTAATGTTGTTTTTATCCTTTAGACCTTATCCTAGATCTCAGATTTCTAAACCCTTTGCTGTAGCCCTCGATCTAAAACTCCGATGTTTTTAAACCCTTAAACTGTGCTTCAAACCTTAACGAGCCTTAGCGGCTTAACGCAACCCAAACATCAGCAGAAACAGCAGCGAGGAGGCATGGGGCATGGGTATTGTTGGGGGTTCGTTTTAAGCGGGCGACCATGGGTTTGTGGCTGAGGCGGTTCTGGGGTTTCACGGTGGTGACATCACAGTTTCAGGGTGTGCGATGTGTTCGAAATCATATATGCTTGTGGGGGCTGTTGGGTTCGGGACAAAACCTCATATACCCCCTACCCTAAACTAAACGTCCTAAAGGCCTAACATCCTAGATCCGGTAATAACTGGCGGCTAGGGACGCAATCGCTAACTTTAAACAACTGTTCAAGGACTTATGCATGCGCAATCACTAGGATCCTGGGTCCTAGGGCCTAAGGCTAACCCAAGATCACGAATTTTTCACTAATCACTAATTAGGGCCACACATCAAGTAGCAACCCGGCCAACCCCATCACCAATCCTCCCTGAATTGAACACGAGATCATCAACCCCAAGCTGAACCACTTCTTAACAAATCCTTTCAGGAGCCTGCTATGAAATATTAAACAAGCACTTTAAAACTTTAAAGGAACCCCCTCAGGCACGAACCCATGAAACCCAACACCCTGAACTCTCCTCAAAACTGAACCTAAAACCGCACAACAGCCTAACATCTGAAGAAGTAACCGGGCTTCGGGCGGTGCCGCCAACTGCATCCGCCCTTCGATGTGATCGACACCTGTGAAAACGAGTCGACGGGCCCGGGGGTCCCGGGAAGGGGAGAGGAGCGGCTACGACGACAACCAAAACCCCCCACAGCCCTACAGCCCTAGCACCTAGCAGCAATCCTTGCAAAAACGCCCCTGCCACCAACTGCACTACCAAGTCAGCACGCAAAGGCCCTGGCGAAGCGACGAAGGTCCAACCTGGGCGAGGAGCAGGAAAGGGTAGAAGGACGCGGGGCAGAAGGTTTCAGGAGGGGAGAGGGCGGGGAGCACGAAGGGCATTTTACAGTCCTACACAGGGGCTCTGAAGAGGATAGGACGGTTAGGTCAGGTAAGGAGAACCCCGAAACCAAGCAAACGCCTGAAGTGCAAAACAATCTGAGGCTCCCACACTGAAAGATGCCGATGGAAGGATGATGTTCGACCTGGGACACATGGGGGTATTGAACGGGTATTGGTAATAGTAGTATATAACTTAGTAACTTAGTATTGGGCCATTGGGCTTCGGGGCATAGGGACATTTTAATACGGTATTGGGGCTTTAGAACTTTAGAGTTTAGATTGTAGATTGACCCGACGTATCAGTATCAGTTGGTCCAGTTGGTATCAAGGAGTCAGAACCCGCAGGACCCCCCAAGGTTTCGAAGCCCCCTACCCAGATCCCAAACCCCAAAAAGAGAATCCTAAACTTGTACCCCGAAACCCAAACCATGCACTCGATACCGAACCGCAGCCGGCCAGACGACACAGACCGGCCCAGACCCAGAAATCAAACCCCAAACCCGCAACAGCCACACACAATCGAGAGCACGAACACGACCAACGCACGAGTTAAAACATGGCATACAGATACGATCAAAAGAGCCGTGACGCCAAAACAAATAGGTCACCCACGATGCCAACACAACAAGAAATGCATGGAAGAAGGCAGCACGAGCAGCGACCAAACCTGCTACAAACGATCCGGGTGCCCCGCACATAGACATAGCCATGCCGCGGCATCCCCCATCAGACGCGCTGGCACTCTAGTCTATAAATGTCTAGATGTATATTTGTATATGTGTGTATATGTATATATGTACACACCTATAACTTTTTATCCGTGCATAAACCATATATATATATATACACATAGGTATCTATGTATACACGTATATATGTACATATGTGAATATGTAAGTATGTACATACATAAATATGTGCATATGCAGAAAAGCATATATGTATGTATGTATATATATATGCATATAGGCATATATGTATATTTGTATATGAATATATGTATGCATCCATACCTATCTATCTACACATACATGTATGTATGCATGTATGTACTCATGTATGAATCAAAGCGTGTATGTATGTATGTATGCATATATTTACCCATATACAAAGACATATGTACATATTTTTATTTACATTTTCTATTTCCTTATGTTGGTATTGAAATATGTGTGCATAAAAAGGGTATATGCATTTGTATGTGCAGTCTGTGTGTGCGTGCATGTGTATATGTGTATATGTGTATGTCTGTGTGTGTTTGCGTCTGCGTGAAAGTGTAAGTGTGTATGTGTGTATGTGTATGTGTATATGTGTGTATGTGTGTATGTGTGTCAGTGTAAGTCTAAGTGTCAGAAGACAATGCAAGAGTCTCTGAAACTTCCTGCGTCTATGCAGTTTTCCCTGTGTTTTGTCCTCTATGGTCCATGTCAGCCCAGAACTCAGTATGACGCTCGAGCAGTATCTTGCCTGAGATGACAGCGGCACCACCACCTTCAACTGCATCTCGGAAATCGAAGACAGTCTGCTTGCAATGCTTTGCGGGTTTGGAGTTTGGACACTGCAACACGTTGCACAGCACCGCAAACATCGCTGAGTGGTTCCCAAAGTGCCTGTTTTCTTCAGGGATCTGCATACAGTACACAGTCAGGATTTGGACAGTTCCAAGTTGACATCGAATGCATTCTTCCTGCGGGCAGTCGGCTAGGCTAGACTCGACGGTATGGCATGGTGGCTTGGTGCGAGTGCGAGTTTGGAGATTTCGGGTGGCAGCTGTCAACCGTCCCCTCGATCTTTATCTTCGCACAGAATAGTATAACGAGAGGATACCATATGCCATATACAAAAATGTACAACACCTATGCTATAGCATACACAAATGCACAAAGACAATGCAAGAAAAATAGAAACCACCAAAAAATGAAAAAAAAATGCAAAAAAATGCAAAAAATGCAAAAAAAACGCAAAAACCGAAGCAAAATAATTGCAAAAAAAATGCAAAAAAAATGCAAACAAAATTTCAATAAAAAAAAACAAAGTTGCAAACAAAATGCAAAAAAATATGCAAAAAATATGCAACCCAAGTTTTCGGCCGGCAGACGAAGTTGCAAAACATATGCAAAAAATAATTATTTTGGGAACCTGGCTGTGTGGCTGTCCAAATCATATAAGATTATGCTACCCCTTATGGGCCCATCTACATCGAGCCCACACTTCAGAAGGAAGACGGCACCGATGTTACAATTCCGATTTTGAGTCCAGCTGCAATGCTGGCTTGGGCATGCGAGCACTGTGCAGCCTTCGGCCAGCTCGTGCAGAAGCAAATGGCACTGAAGCCGCCGACCTACGAGAAGCCTTGGACTCTGATTTGGTATTCGGACGAAATCGCACCGGGCAATCAACTGAAGCACGTGAACCGTCGCAAGGCCCAGGTCATCTATTGGTCCCTGCAAGAACTGGGAGCCCATGCGATGTCCTGCGAGTCGTGCTGGTTTACCTTGACGGCGGTTCGCAGCACCGTGGTCGCAGACATGGGGGGGATGGCGGTTTTGTTCCGCCAGCTGGCCAGGTTTTTTTTCGAGACCCCCGATTGGCGGCAGGGACTTCTGGTCAACTGCCCCATCGGCTGTCCCCCTCTGTTTGCCGATCTTGGCATACTAATCTCCGACGAAGCTGCTATAAAGCAAACCCTCTGCAACAAGGATGCTTCTGGACTCGTGTTCTGTGTGCACTGCCAGAATGCAGTCGACCACAAGTCGCACGTTGCTGCCAGCAGTCGGGGCACACAAGTATCCAGCCTGGAGACCGACATTTCCAGATTTCGTCGCCAGACGAAGGAGTCCATCAAAGCCTATATGGACTACCTCGCTGAGCAGAAGCCCTTGCAGACCAAGACAAAGTTCGAAAAGCTGCAGACTGCCGTGGGTTTTAACTTTAAACCAATGGGCTTACTGGCCCATGCAGCCTATGGCCCCAAGCTGATAGACTGCATTATGTTCGACTGGATGCACGTCTACCTGGTCTCAGGGCTGTTCAATGTGCTGACAGGGCTTTTCCTTGGAGACCTCCATCACAATGGCTGGAAGCACAACGACATTGAGCGCTTCGCAAGGACTTTCACATGGCCTGCACGTCTGCGAGGTGCTGCCCCGAAGGATGTGTTGCAAAAGAGAGGATCCTACAGTGATCCTCTCAAGTGCAGTGCATCGGAGGCTCTGAACTTCCTGCAGGTGCTGCGAACCTATCTTGTGCTCTGGGTGCTGCCGCAATGCAACGAGGACATGAGAAACTCATGCGAGGTTTGGTTGGCGATGTGCAAGGTCCTCGATGCTTTGCAAAAGATCGCCATAGGAGATCCTTTCCCTGCAGTCCAACTGCAAGTCTTGGTGAAAGGCCATCTGGACCTCGCTAAGACCCGCTACGGTGAGGACTCCTTTTGGGTACCCAAGTGCCATTTGGCACTCCACTTGCCCCTTCAGTTGGCCAAACACTCAGGTCTGATGAGCTGCTTTGTGCACGAAAGAAAGCACAAAATCATCAAGAAAATCACCAACCAAGTACTCGACACAAGTCGGGCTTTTGAGAAGAGCATACTCGATGATGTGCTACATGGGCATTTGCAGCAGCTCGCCGATCCGGCTTTTCTCCCAGGAGATGCTTGCATGCATTATGCATTTATTTCTTCTATATACCACTATAGATGTTGTTATAAAAAGGTTCACAACATTTTCTTTCCAGTTTCGTCGTATGCAGTTTAGGAAGGGGTGCACTTGGTTCAGCCTGTGCGACCAGCCCCTGCCAAGCTCCAAGCCGAGCTCCGGCGATGCATGAACATCCAGGGCGAGATCATGACAGCAAACCAGGCTGTGCATGCAGGGAACTTCACAGTTTCGGCAAAAGACCTCGCGGTTTTGCATCTGGATGGTGAAAGGCTTGTCGGCAGGGTGGGCTACCACGTCCAAGCAGATGGGACATGCTGGTCACATGTCACTCTTTGGAACCACGTGCATGGAGCCATGTTCACCCTGTCGGACGATGTGGCCCTTGTAGAAACCAAGCATATCCATGCCACTTGTGCCTTCAGTGTGCAAGGCGACAGTGCTGTCGCGGTGCTGCCATGAGAAAAAAGACCTGCCTGCGAGCTTGCAGCCCTGCAATCAATGGCGGTCTTCGTGTAAATATCTCTATAACACGTTCCCTTTTGGGAGGCAAACGGTTGGAAATTGCATGTCTATATATCACAAATCCATCAGCTCTGAAACCACTTAGTTTACTTAGCAGACTTATCTAAGTATGACTTAGCTGCAACGATAAGTTGACTTAGCTATCTATGCTAAATGGAGTTATGCTAAGTGGGATAAGTCAGTTATTAAGTCGACCAACCGAATACTAAGCATGATAACTTTTTACTAAGCCCAGCGGGCCTTTAAGTGGCCCCTCGTGCCACAAGCCTGCACAGTCAATTGTGCGACGAACTCGTACATTCCCGGGAATCTCAAGAAGTGTGTTACGAAATGACACACTTCCTAACCTGACTTCGCAAGCAGTGCTCCAGAAGTGGACGGCGAAAACGTCAACTTACCATTGTGACGGTATCGGTCAAAAGTCCACTGCAATTGTGTGACGGAATCACACAATTTTCTGGTCCCAGTGTCCGACGGAATCGTACACTGCCACGACATCGTCGAATTGGCACACGAAGTGAGTCAATCGGTTCACTGCGGTCCGTCCTACTCCGTCGCCCAAGCATAGACTTCTGCATTGTTGCGAACTACTGTTTTTTCCCAAAATCGGAACTTCTTGGATCCGTGATGGCTTCAAAGTGAATCCATGATGACTGCAAAAATCCATGATGACTCCATGACTCTATGATAACTCCATGATGATCCAAAGATGACGTAGCGGAGCTCGTGAGCTTGCCCCGCCCGTCGTCTCCGAAGTCAGCAGACGGGTCGTTCAAGTGCGACCTCTGTGACTAGACCTTCGAGACAGAGCCGTGCGGGAAGCAAGGCGGCGACTGCTCGCAGCCATCTTTTCTAGCACTTGGCCACTGAAACGGCACGCTAGAACTGCAAGGACACGCCGTTTAGACTGAGTCGAGACGGCCACTTTTCCAAGATAATGGCCAACGAGGCAGGCATGTGTTAAAAACCTGACACATGCTCTGTCCGGACACACCACGTCCGGTTTTTCCGACCTGCCATCATCTTGAAATCATGATGAATTCTCGCCGTTCTGGTCTCGCCAGACAACAGACAACCCCTGTGTTTTGTTCCGTCACGATCGTGCACACCAAAATCCTGCAGTGTAGGCGGCTTCCAAACAAGGAGTGCGAAGACCAGTGCCCAGGCAAGCAACCCACAACCTGTCGGAGTTCCAGTAACAAAGTTGTCCGAAACTCTAGTGCGCGTGCCGCCGCTGCCAGCAGAATCAAAACAATGTTTCTTGCCGTGAGCTCGAACACTGCGTCAGCCGCTAAGACAGGCTTTTTTTGCCGGGCGCGGCGTTTCGCGCGGTAACTAATTATTAACTAAAAAGAGATTAACGGCGCGCGCGGAGCGCGCGCCGCCAGCGAACAAAAAACGTGTTTTTCCGTTTTTGCTTTCCAACCCCACTCAAACCTCCTTTCCCAAACCCAAAGTCTTTTTCAGTCGAGCGTGACAACATCCCTCATTTCGCCTGCCACCTCTACCTGTACACGAGGTGGGGCAGGGCTTACAAAAGGCTTCTTAAAAGCAGACATGTCCTTCCAAGTGACCCCCCCGCTGTCTCTTTGAGACTTGCGAAGCTGGCCACACACTGAAAACATGTCTTGTCCGCCGAACCAGTGCTTCAGCTGGAACAAACGGACGTGAAAACGCATGATCTGTTCCATGCGAGGGCCTCTGTCGTCTGAAGAGCCAACTGTGTTGAAGGGCCGCTTGCCGACCACTTTGCGGAAGGCAGCGAAAAAGCCATCAACCTTCTGGGTTCCTCCAACCCTTTCCTGCTCTTCAAACCTGTCGCCCACCCAGACACGCACCCGCATTCTCTTAGAGAATTCTGGGTGCGGAGGCTTGTGTTTGACACAAGTGTGAGACAAACGCAAATCACCGTCCTCCAAACTACCATCAAGCAGAGGACTATTCAAGGACTTGTAGGCTTTGGCTCCGTCTGTGTGACAGACGGACCCAAATCCCAGCACAGGCTCATCAGAGTCCAAAAGTAGAGCAGAACGCATTTCCTCCAAGGAAAGTGGTCCTCCTCCACCTTGACCTGCCTGTAGCCAAGACGCTGAAGCCACACCAAGCTGGACCCTCTACGCCTCTCTCTTATATCCATGTTTCAAAACTGCGCTACGTTGTGGTGTAGTCTCTGGCTGTTTCGTTCACAGGGTAAGTCCTTCTTCGCGGTTCCGGCCGAAACTCGCTCCAAAACGCGGCCTAGGAGGCCCAGGGCTGGGTTTTAGAAGGCCCGAAAGTGCGCGCAAAATCCATGCAAAATCTTTTGGGCCATAGTGCGGCCTGGCGGGGTCGGAGTTTCTTCTGCTGATTGAGTCGAGTCCGCCTGATTCCGGCAGAGACTCTAGTAGAGACTGAGTTTGGTGGTCCAGACACTCGAACCTTCAAGCCGAGTAGCAATCGCAACGGGGCATCAAGAGCACCAACACAGGGCATTAAGAGTGAAATTATTTCCGGGACTGGGGGTTCTCGAATCATATTTAAAAATCAACATTCAAGGACGCGAGAAAAACAGTCTATCTTGCAGGGGTTCATCCTGTCTTAGTCGTCCAGTGTGCTACCCAGCCCCCAAACAAGAATGTCTTGTCGGCAAGCCGAAGACGACCAACGGCACCAAGAGCATTAAAGCGATCGGGTTAGGGCTACTGGGGGCTTCGCCGTGGAGTCCAGAGGATGTTGCGTGCACCTGCCGGGTTCAAGGCGGAGGGGAGGTTCAAGCTTCTACAAAGTGCAAACTAAACTGCTCTCTCGCACTCAGCTCTTTCCGGAGTGCGTGTGCGGTATGCGCGACCTCGGGTATGTACAGCTGTCGGTCAACGCCTCTCGGCAGGAGCTACAGCGTCAAAACGCTGACGCACACATCTGACGCGTGTTTGTGTAGCCCGGTGGTGTGAGTTGTGCTTCGGTTTAGGCTTGGAGTTAAGTTTCCGCGTACAGCTGGCACGACGCTATCAAAGTTGGTTTCGTCTGGGTCAAACGGATTCATTTGTGCAACATGCAACAAAATTGGCAATGGCCCTCAACTGTACTGAGAGCCTGTTCTGGCCTGAAGGCGGGGCTCAGTCTTGGTCCTATCGTTCCAGTTAGTTCATTTCACGGTCTTCTTCCTCGATCGGCAGTGGTTCTCGAATTGGGGGAACTGGGTTCTGCAAATAATCGATCTAAACAAGGACAAGGATTCGACGGCTGTCGGGCATCGCACTTCTGTGCCCAATGATCACAGCTTGAAGCACCTCCCTCGCCCAGGCTCTGCTCAAACCAAACCGGCCCATCTCGATCAGGTCAAGCAAACACCCGCTGTACGAGCTCCGGAACAATGAAAGTTCCAAGTCGCCGGCGAAGAACCTTCTGGGGAAGTACCGCGCGTCGGAGAGCATGTGGTCACGAAGCACCATGACGTTTGCACAGTCCACTGTGGCCACGCGATACAGATCGAGAATCCGGCGAAGCCAATGCTGGGGCACAAGATTGCGCCTCACACGCGCCAGGCGGCATAGCGTGATCGTGACCGGGAAACCAGTCCTCAAAGAAGCGATCCGCACTTCGCTAGGCGGGGTGCGGATAATGCTCCCCCATGAAGCGAATGAACCTCAAGGGATACCGGGATGCCCGTCATGCTCAGCCCACGCGTCATCATCGGCTAGCCACGCGAGCAAGTCGACGCGATGAAAGAATTGAATTGCTGGATCTGGCGCCAAAGCAGATTTCATGCGCCCCGCGGGAACCACGTTTCACATTTCACGCACCCAACACACCCCGCCGCGTTTCACACTTCACGCCCACGCGGGCCCACGAACCCCCGCCGCGAGAAGGGTCCGGGGTTCCCGGAGAGCTTTACGGGGGAGGGCGGGGGGGCAGCGAGGGGCCTTCCTGACTCCTACTTAATTACAGACAACCTTACTGCCTCAGAGCCCCGCCCAAATGCACAACCCCAAAATCCCGAAGCCTCTGCAGTCCCGCCGTTCGATCACTACTTCCCTGTGTCAGGACTTGTGCGTTGCTGTCTTTCTTGGACGCGGAGCTGTTTCGCAGGATTGCACGTCTGGCAGCTGCGCTGCTTTCCAATAAAGATGTGGTGGCTGCAAAAACGCAATTCGAGCATGAACTCAACAAAAATCATGCCAAAAACCATGCAAGATCAAGCAAAACACGCCCATGCCGAAAAACCGTGTAAAGCTGGTGTTCGCTTGCCCGAACTAAAGAAAGGCTAAAAGCCAGCGCCCGGGAGCCCAGGTGAAACCCCAAACTGCCCGCCAGGAGCCCAGGTCGAAACTGCCCGCCAGGAAGCCCTGCCCGCCAGGAGCTACAGCAGGGTGAGGGGAAACAAAGGCCCCACAAGTACAGGTCAAGTCCCCAAAAAGATGAGGGTTGGGCCTCAATTCCGGCGGGCCTCACTTCCGGGCTAGGACCGGCGAGGAATTCAGTGCTCACCTGCCCTGCGCCCCTCTTCACTTGCCCTGCTGCACCACCCTTCCGGGTTTCACCCGCCTCCTTCCAGGTTTCACCTGCCCAGCTGGACCTCTTTCGAGTTTTCCTCATTTTGACCGCTGGCCGGCGCCATCGCTAACTCGAAGGAAGCTGCCCGCGTCGCTAAAAGTCACTGATTTTTTCCCACTGCTCATGGTCACTGGTCACTCATGTTCGCGATTCTGGCCAAAACGCACAGGACCCGACGTTTGCATGCTTCGCGGTATATTCAAGCATGAGGTCCGTAACTTTGCGACCCGGGCCTGGCCCGAAAGAACTCGACCGGCGAAGGACAGCCCGGGCGACGACCTTTTTTCCGGCCGGATTGTTCAGACGTCATTGTTCTTACAAAGGAACGCTTGACTGCTGTGACCTCATGAGCTGCAAGCCGAAGCTTGACTGGACATGCCCGCGATCATCAACAACTGCATATATCCTACACTGCTTGAGGAGGCACGCGCAGAACGCATTGTTTTTTGAGCCGTTTCTCCTCCTTTCTCCCCCTCTCTCCTCCACCTTCCCCTTCCCCCACTCCATGCCTTCCGCAACTCGAGCGGTTTAAACGTCGGTTTGGAGCAGGCTCAACGGGTTAGGCAACAGCAGACTGACGAGCAAGACCTTCTGCCTGGTCTGATGCGTGCAACGTGATCAGCGCTGTGACGACAGTTGTTTGCAAACTGAGTAGATCCCAACAGCACCACCCCACTAACTAAGACACAAGCTGCGAGCACTGAAACGGCAAACTGTGTACAGCCGGTGCCGCGCGGCCCAGAGCCTCTTCGGAGCATGCTTCTGCTGCAAAGTCCATGACCTCCAGCGCAGCAACTAAAGCACTCATTGAAAGTACCACGAGGCTGCACATCCCCCGATCCTGAAATGACCATATGACACCAGCATTATGTAACATAACCGTGATATACTGATTCTCCAACTTTTACGAGAAGGGGCAGAATGCACATCCTGAGCGCCGACAACCGCAACCAGGCGAAATTACTGTTGTCTTGGGACTTTTCAGGATCCTAATGCACATGCTACCTGAACCCTAAACCCTAAACCTTAAACCCTACATTCCTTTTGGGATCCCTATTGCGACATTCGCTACCTCTGTCCCAAGCATACTGAAAAAGACCGGAAAGGGTCCCTGCTAGACAATAAGAGCCCCTGGCGATGGTCTGCTAAACCCTAAATCCAAATAGTTAGCTTGTGATCAGCGTAGCGACAGTGTCGACAAGCAAGGCTCACTCACAACCAAATTTCAACCTTATTGGTCTTTCTGCATCGCGGACTATTGCCACGCGAACCTGGCACCAAGTTCACGCCAAGTTCAAGTTCAATGCTTTGCACAACTCAAGTAGGAAGCATCTTTCCTGTGAAGACAACTGGTCGCTCAGCTGCACCGCATTCACGGTCCAAGGGAACCCATGAATCTCATCCGAGAGAGTTCCATAGATGCTCTGCAATGTCGGTTTAACTCTCTCGCCGCTGAAGCATTTCTTGATGCCTTTTGACAGGATTGCTTCCCAACGACCACGATTCTTACCGCTTCGAAGCGCCTTGATTGTTGCCGTGGCATTGAATTTGTCCTTGGGGCGGCACTCCTTCGCAGCCAAGCGCAGCGTCCACTCAAAGATGCCGCGGCTGCTGAGCAAACCTTTGGCGCGGAGGAGCTCCATCTCCTTAACCTGAAGGAGATCGTCCTTGCTCTGGGTTTAGGGTGTAGGGTTTAGGGTTTAAGGTTTAGGGTTTAGGGTTTAGGGCTTAGGGTTTAGGGTTTAGGGCTTAGGGTGGGTTTATCGTCCTTGCTCTTGATGGCCTCGTCCGCCCTCTTGATGGCCTCGTCCTTGCTCGGGGTTTAGGGTGTAGGGTTTAGGGTTTGGGGTTTAGGGTTTAAGGTTTGGGGCTTAGCGTTTAGGGCTTAGGGTGGGTTTATCGTCCTGTCCTTGCTCTGGATGATTTCGTCTTTGCTCTTGAGCAGCATATCCACGAGATCAATCTGTGACTCGGTCAAAGGGGGATTGCCGAGCAGCGCAGCCAGTCGCTCAGGAGGCAGCGAAAAGCTCGCCGTCGCTGCAGTCCACACGACAAGCAACGCCAGAGGGAATGGGGCTGCATGGCGCGTCCGGAGCAAATGGTGCTGCATGTCCAACCCCCGCGTCTAATTTGCCCAACATGTCCCAACCCAAGACCGAGCCAAAACAAAGGCGTAGGGACGTGGAAAGGACGAGAAAAGGTGCACAAGCACTTCCCGCCTACCCTGAAGCGTCTAGAAACCCTCACAACAGTCCCTTTAACCCGTGCACTCAACAAGAGGGGCTCCCAAGCACTTGCAAGCACTCAAAGGCCGTGGCAGCACAAGCAGGATCGCGAAGAACACTTGGCAGTCAAAAATGAAGATGGCGACCGGGACCTGGGGAAACAAGGAGTGCAGGCGAGCACTGCGAACATGGCAAACCCCCAACAGACAACTGAATACTTGCATGCTCCTACGGGAAAGGTCTTGCAGGGCGAGGGGCGCACGTGTCTTGGGCAGGGCACGTCTTCGTCGTCATGACAGTGGTCCTGCAAAGGGGCAGTCAAACACCAAAAGCCAGCAAGCATCTACCCCCACGGTCGGCCTCAATCACGGGAGCCGCGCCTTCGTCAGTGAGGCCCTGCAACCAACAGGGCAGCCGTCAAACTAAACGTGCACGGCCAGCAAGGATCTAACCACCCTGGCCTCAGTCACGGGAGCCGTGCCTTCATCGCTGCGGTCCTGCAAAAGGGGCGGTCATCAAAGTAAGTGTGCAAAGCCCGCACAAACCGCCCGGCCTCAACCTCTGTTGGCTCGCCCGAGGGGAAGCACTTCTTGCAGCTTGACGCTTGCGTCATCTCCTGAAAGTCCGTGGAGATCGCCCCTCCACACAGCAGCTTGCCTTCTACGGGCCCCTTCGCATGCACCTTCCCTGTCCGAACGTGGCGAAGCATGGCCATCGAATGCCTACACGACGTGACAGTGCAAAAAAAAACTGAGCAACAAATGCTGCAAGAAACCTTCTGTCAAGACTGTCTCATGTCCTTGCCGCCCCAGCTGACACAGCTCGGTGAGTTGTAGAAGCTGGCAAAGGCTATAGTTGTTGTAAACCACTGCACACACGCACTGATAATAACCCGTCCAAGTGTTAGCAAGTAGCGCACGATACCATTAGGTAGCTACACCTTTTTCCTGCTAGAGCACTTGTGCCACAACGTCACCACACAACATGCTACTTCACACGTGCACAAATTACACCCCCCTCGCCGAAGCGTCAGTCTGAGGCGCAAACATGCACGGAAGCTTGGTGCTGTGTGGCCTGCCGTAAAGGCGGCTGGATTGTGGCTCGGGGCTCATAGGCTTTCTACTACCGTAAAGCGGAAGATACGGAAGCAGATTAATTCTTTTAGCGCGCAGTTTAAAGTCGCGACATGCATTATAAAGTGGCGACGATCCAGCAAGCCTTGATTGATGGCGTGGATACGAGTCGCAAGAACATGTGCAGCGTGGGACGAATACATCATCCACTGGAGCTGCTGGCTGTTCGGATTTGTCACAAAGTGACTGCCAGGAAATGAAGCATGAAATTTTTCTGGTCTTAAGGAAATTCGGCCACCTCTAAGAGGGGCTGTATTTCGGAGTACCGGTTAACGTGACGGAACCACGAAATGTTGATCAGGTACTTAGTACCATCCTCCGGAACCCGAGGAGCGTCCATAGGGGTGGGACCCTCGCTGGTAGCCGCGATCCCATCCCTGCTCCTGATAGCGCTGTTGCTCTGCTCTGCGTGCATCAGCTTTGGCTTGAGCAATGCGAGAGCGTTCAGCGTTGCGTTGGCGCTCTTCGTATGCACGGCGTGCAACTCCGACCTGTACCGCGAATTTCCCTCGGAGCCACTCAGTCCAGTCCTCAGCAGAATAGCCGAGTCGTGGATCAACGTAGAGTGCCTCTTCTGAGAAAGTAACAATCATTTTCACGATTTTGTGCTGGAGGAAAACATCTACGAATTTACGCAAACTGTATGCCCCTCCCAGCCACATGATGCAAAACGGATCGTCACTCACTGCGGAGATCAGGCCTGCCCTAAGGGCGGCTGGATTGCACTCGTGCAAATAGAGCAACCGAGCAATCTCCTGGTTCCTTGGCCCTTCGGAGCTTCCACCGTAGGTACCGACAGCTAACTGTCGTTGCTCCTTCGACCGGCCATGGTTCGGCAGTGCAGCATGCGTGAGCACGTCTTCGATGGCCAGAAACTCACGATCGTACCCATTGCCGATGGAACTCATGGTGTAGTCCACATCATTGTCGAAGCGGTGTACGATGCTTGTGTAGCCTCCTTTTGTCGCCATCTTTAACTGCTGCCGGGCCTTGTCCAACGCCTCTGCGTCAAGCGACGTAGTTCCTCGCTGCGTTGTGGAGTCTCTGGTCATTTCATGGATGACCTCCTCTGGCGTCAGCTGGGAACGTGGCTTGCCCGCGGTGGCTGCGGCGGCCTCTTCAGCGAACCATCGGGCCGTACGCACTTTCTTGCGTGCGTTTTGCTGGGAAGGCTTCACTATGTGAACGCCACAGTGGAGACAGATCATCTGTCCCACGAGATGCTGCGTCCCACAGTGGGGACAAGCTCTGTGGCGGCCACCCGTAACGGGGGCTGGAGGGAGCGCCAATGGTGTCGACTCCGGTTGCGGCGGTGCCTGCTCATACATCGGCTCGACTTTGGCCTCTTCTTCCTCCTTTTTCACATCGCCTTCCTCTGGCTCGATCTCAATGTCGATCTCGACTGGTTCCTCCGGCTCAAGGAAACGCACTCGCTTTCTGGACTCAGTCGGTGCCTCCGGTGGTGAAGCGCCCCCCTGGTCCAATGTTGTGGTTTCCTCCGGAAGGAAGTCGGATGCTGTAGCGTCGTTGAGTGCAAGAGGTGCTGGTGATGATGCTGATGGCGCAACCTCAACCTCAACTTCAACCATAGGCTCGTCTGCGGGAGCAGACGCTGCTGCTTCAACTTCTTCATGGCCACCACTAAGTGGGGCTGAAGGTTCCTCCGGAACATCGGGGAACTGCTCCGGCTCAGCTGCTCCAGGATCGACGATGGGATCCTGGGCAGTCTCCGGAAGGATTGTATCCTCCTCCTCGCTGGATTGACGAGACCACAGGATGATGCCTTTGACTGTGTCACGAATGTAGAGCACACAAGTCCCCGGCACCGGATCGCGAGTGAGTATACCTTCGGAAGTTGTCTCGAAGAGGTACGCATAGCGGTTGACCTCCTGAGTGTCGAGTACAATTTCGTAAGGAAGGTTTGCTCGGCTGCCAGCTTTATTCTCAAGCTCGCTCAGGGTGGCTTTGGCGAAGTAGTTGTGAAACTTGCCGCTCCTGTTGAACCCTGGCGTGAAGCCAGAAGAGAGAATATTGAAGGCTGCATCATGCGTCGTCCTGTGATAGAGACGCGGGGGAAACTCCCCGAGAGCAAGGAATGGCCTGCCTTGATAGGCGGCTGTAGGTCCAAGCTCCTCTCGCGAATCGTTCGTGAACCAATGCAGCGCAATGGAGGCATCGGTCACTTGGTCTTTGATGCGTTCGCTGTGACCATGCGAAGCACAAATCCAAGAGGGCCAAATGTCCGTCTCAATGAAGTCAGCACGCGGATCGCTGGGGAGGCCTGCCAAGTTAAACCTCGATTTGTTATCGTAGGCGACTATGGACAAGATACCCCGTGTTCCCAGATCCACACGGTGCTTCTTCCACATATGCTGAATGAGCTCTTGGATGCGAATCCATTTCCCGCGCCGTGAGCTGAGCTTCACGTTCGATCCTCGGACAGCACCTGTGAGGTAGCGCTCAACGTAAGGTTTGAGGCCCAACTCAGGGAGGTGGTCCTTAGGGATCGAGTCGGGGAGGATCTGAACGATCTCGCTCCCCTCCGGATCCTCTGGGCACACATCCTCGTCGACGAAGCCACACATTTCCATCAGGTCCAAGTCGTCTTGGTACTTTACCCCAATGTAGTCGTGTGGGCGAGCCCTTAATAGGCCGCTGGAAGGGTCCCGGTCCTTCTTGGTCATGCCCTCTTTTGCCGCTGACAGAGTACGGTGAGACTCTGTGCGGTAAGGGATGGCCTCGATGACATCGTCAAAGGACACCTCCGGTACGTCGCGAGATGATGCACTGCCAGATGGGCCACCACTAAGTGGGGCTGGATCCTTTCGCTCAGCACGGGCACGTGCTTCCGCTTGCTCTTTCGCGCGCTTTTGCGCCTGTTCGCGAGCTGTGGCCCATTCCCAATTCAGGACATCCTGAGGGACCTCACGCATTCCAGTGACCGGAAGATCAGGTGGAGGAACATAAGGGGATTCCCATGGATCAGGGCATTCGTTCGCAGCTTCGCGAATCTCGGCCTGCCTTAAAAGGCGGCGGGAGAGCTGGGACCGATACAGTGCCTTGTCGAAGACATACTGCATGGAATACACCCGCGTTCCTTCTGGATCAAAAGGAAAACGGCGGGCCAGCTCGTCCAGCGTCTCTGCGGGCATCTTCGCGAATAAGTGGTCAGCTTGACACACTTTAATCCGCTGTCCGATCACAGAGGCCAAGGCTGCGCGATGTGTTGAGTCTTCGCGGAAGTGGTAGTGGTCGTGCTTCGGGATCTGGCATACGCTTTCTTTGAGAGAGGCGGTGTATAACCCCCTACTCCTTGCGTATCCGAGGAATTTTCGGATAGCTGTGCGGTACTCTGCTGGCAGCCCGTAGTCCAGTGGGTCGGCATCCGAGAGGATTTGCACTGAGCCCACCGTTGGCCTGCCCTGAAGGGCGGCTAGACGGCCAATCTCACCGCACACACGTGCGGCAATGTCCGCCCAGATCCCTTCTGCGGCAACGCCTTCAGGACCAATCTGCCAGTGTGGCGTCCCTGGGTCGACGAAGACTCCTCTGCGACCGCACAGTTCGTTGCCCATCCAAACAACAACGATATCGACCTCGAGATGCAAGGGGTTTAACGATTCGTTGATGATCTGCGGCAAGAGCGTGTGAACTGCCTCAACGATCGAGTGGAGGTTGCCTCCCCAAATCGCCTTTTGTCGGACATTCGTGTATTGCTGAAGGATATGACCAGGCCCCGTCAGAGCTTTAAA